AAAAAAAAAAAAAAAAAAAAAAAAAAAAAAAAAAAAAAAAAAAAAAAAAAAAAAGAATAAAAACTGGAGAAAAACAGGTTTTTTTTCTTCCCAGAGCCCCACCCCCACAAATCCATAGAGACGACGCTATTACATCACTAGTCTGATCTCCTTCGGGCATCTGGATTGTGTTCCATTCAGACAAGACCCCAGTATTTGCTCTTTCCTCATAATTCAACACACCTGGAGCTACACATGTTTAATTTTTGTTCATGGCTACTTTAAGACAATATGAATTCAAGACATTATGTGGCTTCAGTAAGATAATGTTTATTAACCAAGGCTACATATTATTGTGGTTTCTAGGCCAACAGTATGAAATAAGATCATATATATATATATATATATATATATACACACACATATATATACACACACTATATATATATATATATATATATATATATATATATATATATATATATATATATTCCGCACAGAAAACATACTTACAAAGTTAAAATGAATCCTCTCATCAGTGTCCAGTCTTATTAGCTGCAGGATGGCATCTCTTTCCCTCCCTGTAATCTAGCACATTCTTTACTATGCTACTTTGCTCTGGGGTGGTCTTCCTGTGCGCTGTGAATATGTGTTGCTGTCATCGGTTGAAGAATAAAGCTGCTTTGGCCTATGGCAAGGCAGGATAGAGCCAGGTGGGAAAATCCAAGCAGAGACACAGGAGAAGAAGAGCGGAGTCTGGGGGAAGCCAGCCAGCCACCAAAGGAGCAAGATGCCAGCAGACTGGTAATACCAGGACCCCGTGGCAATACATAGATTTATAGAAATGGGTTAATTTACATGGTAAGAGCTAGTTAGTAATAAGTCTGAGCAGCAGGCCAAATGGTTTGTAATTAATATTAAGCCTCTGAGTGATTATTTTAAAATTGGCTGTGGGACCAGGCGGGATAGAGAAAAAAAAAAAAACAAAACCCAATTACTCTGTCCTTTCCCTAATTAGACTGGCAGAAAGTAAAATTTATTCTGTTCATTAGAAATAAAAATCTGTGACTTACCTCCCACACAAATCTATATGAAGGAATAAAAATAAAACGATAGTGTGATTTTTTTTCAAAACTGGAAAATAAGCTGTCCCTAACTTAGGGAAGAAGCTAGTTGAAGAATTTAAAATACGTTCACATGTACTTACCATGGGTTTTGATAACGGTGGCTTAGTTTGTCGGTCTGCCAACAACTTAGTTCTCCAGCCTGTAAAAGGAGGAAAACCAATTCAGTGTCATTCCTTGGTAGACAGGGGGGTCTCACGGGTCTGAAGTCTACACATCTCTATTCTGCCTCAAAAGGAAGTCAGGTTGGAATATGGAGCAGGAATGCTAAATTCAGCTAAAAGAAAATCAGTGGATACCACTCACCCGAGGTTGCTTGCCCTGGACGGGGGAGGAGGAAGCGCCCGGCAGGCGCCATTATGGTGAGCCAATATGTAGTAGGGTATTAGAAAGAGAGAGAGAGGCAGGCTGGCTCCTGTCCTGTGGAGAGAGGCAGACCTGAAGAGGTGAGGAATGGGCTAATGTGGGAGGCCTGCTTGTCACCCTGGGCCATGATGACGTCCAGGCCTGGGCTGCTGCCAAGGGCCATGCCTGGGTCTGTGGCCCCTCTGCAGCCGGGGTCTGTGTTAACCACCTGGGATGCTGGGGTTCTGAGCCACCACCTGACCATGTTGGGGTCCGAGGGACGTGCTGCTGCAGGGCCATGCTGATCTGAGTGGCCTGTGCTGCCACCCAGAGCCAGGGAGCTGTCTGGGCCTGAGCTGCCGCAGAAGGCCATGTCTGGGACCGTGGCTCTACCACAGGCCGGGCATGAGTTAATGTCTGTGCCTCCTGTTACCACCAAAGACCGTTCAGATGCCCGGTGTCCGGGCTGACACCTGAGGCCTTGGTGGTGCCTGAGGATCAGGCTGCCGCCAGAGTCATACAGATCAGGTCTGCAATGCCCCTGGGGCCATAGTGACATCAGGGCCCAAGCTGCAGCCGGGGGGGGGGGGGGGTGTCATGTCTGGGTCCTTGGTCCGGCCTAGGGTCTATATTGATGTCCAAGGCTCTGCTCCTGTTGCCATTGAGGGCTGTGAGGCTGCCCGGGGTCTGGGCCAACATCTGGGGCCATGTTGGAGTCCAGAGACCACGTTGCTGCTTAGCCCGTTTGGATATGAGAGGCCTTAGCGGCCACTGAGGACCATGGAGACAACTGGCACCAAACGGCTGCTGCTGGTCATGTCTAGGTCCGTGGTCCTGATGCAGCTGGGGCCTGTGTTGATGTCCGTTTGTCCACGTTGCCACAGGAGCGCATGCAAGTGTCGAACAATGTGTTTGAGTACTAGGGCCGCGCTGCTGCGGCTGGGTCACTGGAGAATTGGCCCCACCCCCAGCCATGGGTGTGAGAGAGCCGGCGCTGCCCCTCACCTAAGGGGGGTGGATCTAACACCCCAGACTGACCAGCTCAGCTACCATCCAGACACACACCCAGGGTTTTAAGTCAGCACTCTCCGACATCTATCCCATCTATGACCTGCTGGATCTCCAGGTTTTCCTTGGTGTGTGGGGATGGATGCTACAGGAGTGAAGGGTAGATACGGAGGGACTGGGAAATGAATGGGATTTGGGTGCATGATGTGTAATTCCCAAAGAATAAAAAAAATATGTTTAAAATTAAAAAAAGAAAGAAAGAAAATCAGTGGAGGTGATCACTGTTGCTTCCTGACCCAAGAAGAAGCTGTTGCTCCGAGCTCCACTCCCTCTGTGTGAATGGAAAGGGCTGGGGCACTGGCCAGGGTCCCTGACTGTTCCCGTGTCTTTCTGACTCGGTAAGGAAGCTGCACGGTGGACTGTCAGCCATCACTTAAGTGGGCAGTTGAGGGCTCTTCAGAGTTAGCAAATGCGATAGTAGAGGAGGAAAGAGCTGGCATCAGATGCCGGTGGCAGATAGTTCTCAGATAGTTGAGAAACTATTTGGTAGCTAAATATCAGTTTCACATTTAAAAGAGAAAAGCATGAAATCCCGCACCCTCCTGTGTACACTTGAATGATGTATTATTCCTGAATGAATGATCTCTATGTTCCAGCTCCTTTCCCCCATCTTATAAAGAAGGCAGGAAACAAGGGTGTCATGTTCATATTCAGAGGGGTTTAGAGCTACAATCACGTCTCAGTTTTCTGTACTACGGTTGAAAAACTACAACATGAAATATTGAAAAGAATTTCACTTCTGCTTCGGAATGCAGTTTTAAAATTTGTATTGACAGGAGGTGCCAGATTCATAACAGCTCAGAAAGTAGCAATAACCATGAAACGTCAGCAGCAATTGGCAACCCCAGATGGTCTCCCATCCTTCCCTCTTCCTCAGGCGTTAGCTTGGAATGGCTTTGCCGCCTGCCTAATAGTTATTTGTGCTCTATGTCCTTAACGTACCTGCTTGCTTGGGTGACCCAACATGGCAGTCTTGCCACCACACAGAAGCAAGTGTACAAAGGAAGAAGTCAGAGAGGAGTCTGATGCAGTTACCCATTAGTCACCGGACAACATGGAAGCAGTGATCCGCAAACGATGGAGAAAGGTCATGGTATCCGTGGATGCCCAGCCTACAATTCCCTGAAAACCAAACCGACACACTAATTCAAAAGTAATTTTATGGTCTTCTTTGGATGATCTTCTTTGGTCTTTTGCCACTCAATGTTTAATATCAAAAGCATGGCATCGTCTTAGTGGGGAAATAGAAGATATCTCCGCTTCTCTTAGCGCTACGAGTATTAATGTCAAAAGCATTGCATTTTCTTAAATACGATTACCCTTGTATTTTAATTAATTATTTTTTCTTTTTCAAGACAGGGTTTCTTTGTGTCCCTTGCTGTCCCGGAACTCTCTATGTATAAAAGGCCGGCCTCGAACTCACAGAGATCTGCCTGCCTCTGCCTCCCAAGTGCTGGGATTAAAGGTGTGCCCCACCACTGCCCAGTGTATTATAATTTATTAACAAAACACACTGTGATTTATTTCATTAGCCATGCTCAGTGAGGCGTTAAGCCTAATGATTCACAATCATGTAAAACATTACATTGGTCCATTGTTCATAATAAGGAAAATATTGATCTGCAGATTAGTTCAGATGGGGATGTTATTCGGGCAGTGCACTTTGCCTGATAGGCACAGGTCCTACATTTCATCCCAGAACTACAGATACACAAACAAGAATCTAACATGTTTATACAATCCACTAATAAATAATACCTTTGTGAAATTTTTATATATCCTCTGAAATTTTTCAATTAACAAATGTAATTATAGGTCCAAATGAAGCCATGTTTAAATAAGTCTAGGTATTAGCAAAAGAGAAATGCCTGCCAGTAACAGCTAGCCATCGTGAGCTAAACACGTTTTCTGAAGGAGTAAGCCTGCTAAATTTGAGTTAAATTAATGGCATGCATCTGGGACTGGTTCTACTGAGAAGCCCCTGTATTCTCAGCCCACCTCTAGCGTAGCCCTGCCATACTCAGGTGATCTTTGGGGTTGTTTGTGAGAGGAATCCTTGCTTTGTTATGATAGTCCACGATGCTTTTTTGAGGGTATCTGATTTAGCTTTCCTTGTTGGAAAGGACCATGTAATCCATTTCTGCAACTATGGGCTTTTTTTTTTTTTTTTTAATCAGTAGACCGGGTACAATGTGACATATTTCAAGAATGTGTACACACTAAGGTTTTCTTCTCCAACCTCCCTCAGTGGTAACACTGGGCTCTCAGTACCAAACAGTGGAGTGGAAAAAAATCCCCTCCGGCTACCTTTTGTTATGCTAATGTGTTTGTTCTCCATTTGCCTTAATTTGCAAAATATTACTGTTAACCCCTTAGGTGTCTTTCTTCCCACAGCCAGTGATAAGCACCCGCATTGTTGTGGCTCAGCCACTAAACTGCATAATGTTGCCTGTTTTAGGCTGGATTTATTGAATCAAGAAAGGCACAAAGGTCTTTGCAAGAATGGGGCATCTGAAGTATTCATTTTAATTCAGAGCAAGGGTTGAAACAGAACAATTCTTTCTGGAAAATGTCAGTGTTTAAGGCTTAGATTCTGTGATGCATATTTTCTGTCAAAATAAATAAATAAAGAGCAATGCAGAAACCCACATTTCATTTTATGTCCTGTTACAGATGAGCTGGAGTTCTGACATGAATGTTTTTGTCATTGTTGTTCGACTGCAATGTTTCAAAGGATTTGAACCAATTAATGAACTTTAAGCAAGCAGTAAACACTGGACTTTGTGAGTTGGTTAACGATAGAGCCAGAATTGCTACTTCCTGTTGTGTGTTCAACTGATGTGCAAATTCTACCATGCTTCTATGGTGCTTAGAACACTACAGTTTTAAAAGACAGGCAGATAGAACCGTTAATGCCCCTAGATGCCATCTGTTGAACCCTGCTGCATGGGATACTATGCCAGCACTGCACACACACACCTCACATAACCCAGAGGACAATGCTTTAACCCTGTGGTAGGCAGAGTTCCAATGGCCCCCCAAATTCTCACTTCCTGGTAAACATACTTTCTTCCAGATATCCAATCAAATACTTACCCAGGGTGTCGCTGCTGAGGGATTTTGTAAACATAATCAAGACCCTAAGTCCTTTGAATTTAAGAAAAGGAGATTTGCCCAGTGTGGTGGAATAAGTTTATAATCCCAGTTACCTGGGAAGTTGAGGCAGGAGAATTATAATTTCACTTCTGTTTAGGCTACAGAGTGAGTTCAAGGACAGTCTAAACAACTTAGTAAGACCCTGCCCCTAAACAAAAAGTTGGAAAGAGACTGGAATGTAGCAGTGTTATGGAGCACTTGCCTAGCATCATGTGTGAGGCTATAGATTTAATTTCCAAGTACTATGGGGTGGGGGGATTTAGCCTCAGTGAGCCTAACCTTATCAACTGAGCTCTTAGAAGACCGTAAAGTTCTTGACAAAGGGGCTGCAACACTGAGGAGCATGTGACCTGAGGAAAATTTCCTTGGTAGCTTTGAGGGTGAAAGAGTCATGTGGTTAGGAGTTTGGGCCTTCTCCAGTTGACAGTGGCTCCTGGCTAACACCCATCCCTACAACCACGAGGAAGTAGAGTCGGCCACAACCACATAAACTTGAAAGAGATGATAGAGATACTTTGATGTCAGCTTTGGGAAACCTGAGCAGCAAGGCAGCCATGCCATCCCCAGACTTCA